TGTGCCATCTTTTTTACATTTACGTTCTTTTCCTTCTTTTTTTTTTGTTGGTGTGTCATCTACAAAACTACACAACAAAGTAAGTTTTTATTTGGCTTACTTGCCTGCCTGCCTGGCTCTTGTTGGCGATGCATCAGCAGCACCACAAGATGCACCCAAGAGATACCACAGGCCAACAGATATGAGTTGTAAAAAAAAAACAACAGCTTAACAACAGCAGTAGCAACAACTGTAATAAAAGCTAAAAATAAAATTGCGGCGATTACGGTGAAGGCAAGTTGTGGCAAGTGCAATGTATATATGTACATATATAGGTATATATATATGTCTACTTCTATATAACCTTGTCGAGGTTGTTGCAATAACAAAACTACAACAGGAAGAAAATTATTGAAAAATTCGACGCATTATATTATAATATATTATATTATGTTATATTATATTATATTATATTATATATATATTATATTATATTATATTATATTATATTATATTATATTATATTATATTATATTATATTATATTATATTATATTATATATATTATATTATATTATATTATATTATATTATATTATATTATATTATATATATTATATTATATTATTATATATTATATATATTATATTATATTATATTATATTATATTATATTATATTATATTATATTATATTATATTATATTATATTATATTATATTATTATATTATATTATATTATATTATATATATATTATATTATATTATATTATATTATATTATATTATATTATATTATATTATATTATATTATATTATATTATATTATATTATATTATATTATATTATATTATATTATATTATATTATATTATATTATATTATATTATATTATATTATATTATATTATATTATATTATATTATATTATATTATATTATATTATATTTATATTATATTATATTCTATTATATTATATTATATTATATTATATTATATTATATTATATTATATTATATTATATATATTATATTATATTATATTATATTATATTATATTATATATTATATTATATTATATTATATTATATTATATTATATTATATATATATTATATTATATTATATTATATTATATTATATTATATTATATTATATTATATTATATTATATTATATTATATTATATTATATTATATTATATTATATTATATTATATTATATTATATTATATTATATTATATTATATTATATTATATTATATTATATTATATTATTATATATTATATTATATATATTATATTATATTATATTATATTATATTATATTATATTATATTATATATATATATATATTATATTATATTATATTATATATATTATATTATATTATATATATTATATTATATTATATTATATATATTATATTATATTATATTATATTATATTATATTATATTATATTATATTATATTATATTATATTATATTATATTATATTATATTATATTATATTATATTATATTATATTATATTATATTTATTATATTATATTATATTATATATATTATATTTATTATATATATATATATTATATTATATTATATTATATTATATTATATATATTATATTATATTATTTATTATATTATATTATATTATATTTATATTATATTATATTATATTATATTATATTATATTATATTATATTATATTATATTATATTATATTATATTATATTATATTATATTATTATATATTATATTATATTATATTATATTATATTATATTATATTATATTATATTATATTATATTATATTAAAAGGTAAACCGTGATTAAGAGATTTTAATTTTTTTTAAAACACGTTCCCCCACTGTGCCCCTTTCTGTCAGGTGTAACTGTAAGACGTAGAAAACCTCACACCAGCTAAGCGACAAATAGCCTGTTTCGTGGATACCTTCGTATCCTTTACACAAAGTTATTTTTATTTCTTTCAAATACAAAAATGAGGAGACGTTCAGAGATTGCAAACCATGATTTACAGTGGCTCACAAGTGAATAAAATCGGTAAAGAAATAATTTATATGTGAAAAAATAGGCATAAAATTAGAACAACTTTTGACCTCATAGAAAGACAAAATGAGAACTTTCGGATTTATTTGAGATTCAATTTCTCCTTGCCTTAGCTTCTATATCCTTCGTCATGCTATGGCATGTATAAATAAATAAAAAAGTATTTCCCTATAATTTTAAATTTTTAAAAAAAAATATAATTTCTAAGAAATAATTTCGGAACGATACTCCTCATCGAGTATGTTAATGAGCCCATCTGATCACTCAAACATATTTAAATTATAATTACAGACCATCTCCCAAGGACCTCTTTAACCACCGTACAAAAAAAAATCATTCACCAAAAAAATACGAAACCGGTCGCTGGTTGTTACAAAGCCCCAGGGTATGTTTTTGTGTTACCTTGTTGACTGGTTGCAGCAGTCTCTCTCTGCACCACGCTCCATCCGCTGTTCGGTTCTTGTTGCTGTGGCATGGTAATATGCACGTGTTGACGTTAAAAGACATAACAACGCGCCAATGTCATTCAAGTGTAAGCCGCATGTCCAAGCTTATCCTTCTTCTCCGCCACTACCTCCTCCGCCAACGCCAAGTAAGCGATAGGGATAAGTTGCATCTTTAGATTGTGTTTCCACTTCAGTGCTTTGCTTGAAAGCATTCTGTGGCAAGTGTAATATTCTTGGCTGATTGCATCTTGGCAGCAGTGAAGTAAAAGAACATGCTTCGATTTACTTTGTGTTGGCTGGGCTGTTTTTTTTTATAACTTAATACAAGTCTATCGAGAGTGAGGAGAGGAAAAAAGGATTTCGGAAAAGAGGAACATGTATACAGATTTTCTTATATGAATTTTTATAAATAAAGCGTGTATTCATACGTCATTGGTCTTTTTAATCTGTATGAACAAAAGCGTAAAGTAATTGACTGACTGGTTGATTGACTGACTTAATGATTCATCAACGCCCATATGAAGGCGGCTGAAGCTAGAATCTTGAAATTTTGGGTGAGGGTCACTCTTGGTCCGAAAGTGTCAATTGAGGCTGGGTTTTTGAAAATTCGTGCTAGAATGGTACTTAATATGGTAAACTTTTTATTTGACTAATCAGTAGAGCTAGAACTTTTAGATTTGGAGTGAAAGTCACTGATAGAGTGTACCAAGGCGTTTAGGTTAGTTTATTCTAAAAACTTGAAATTTGAAATGGGAATCCAGGTTAAGGAGTAGGGTGGATGTAAGGAGGTAGTGTGGGAATTGCATATTCATTTAGACGAAAAGTCCATTGTGCAATGGTTTTACTTACATCCTCCTCGGAAAACTTCGAAATAAAAGAATTGGATGACCTTTTGGTGTAAAATGTAAACACTTTCCTATTATTCTTATCGAAAATATAACAAGTAAAATAGCTGTAATTTCGGCCGGGCCGATCTTTAAATACCCTCCACCATTTGGAACGATTTTGACAATTTTCAAAAAAAAAAAAAAATAAAATAAATAAATAAATAAAATAAAATCTGTTAAAAATTCTGTTAAAATGTAGCCATTATATTAGGGTCTATACGACGACGTGGACCTGCATAGGCACCTTTGTCGTAAACCATTACAATACTCAACTGCGAAACTTGAATGAAAAAAAATCAATGAATAATGTAGCTAAAATCATCAAAATACCGAATATCGGAAGGTATCGTTATATGGGAGATAAACGAAGACATGGACCTGCATAGAAAAATTTCTTTCTAAGGCTGCCCAATTTAAAACAATTCCGGTGAATAATGTGGCCAAAAACATCAAAATACCGAATATCGGGAGGTACCGTTATATGGGGGCTGTACGAACACGTGGATCTGCACAGATAATTTTCTGTCATAGGCTGTAGTATCCACTACGAACTTCAAATACCAAATTTGAAACAATTCCGTTGAATAATGTCGCTAAAATCATCAAAATGCCGAATATCGGGAGGTACCGTTATATGGGGTCTATACGAAGACGTGGACCTGCACAGACAATCTCCTGTCATAGACTGTAGCATTCATTACGAACATCAAATCCAAAATTTGAAAGTATTCCGGTGAATAGTGTCGCTAAAAACAACAAAGTACCGAATATCGGGAGCTGCACAGACAATTATCTGTCTTAGGCTATAGTATCCATTACAAACTTTAAATACCAAATTTGAAACAATTCCGGTAAATAATGTCACTAAAGTCTTTAAAATACCGAATATCGGGAGGTACTGTTGTATGGGGGCTATACCTGCAGACATAACATACATTTGAGTAAAATTCTATCAGTCAACTTCAGTTCGTTCGGAAGCTAGAGTGATTTCCACAGACGGACGGACATCGCTAAATAGACATAGAATTTTATGCTGATCATGGGGTCTAAAATGTATATTTCGAGGTGTTACAAACAGAATGACAAATTTAATATACCCTCCATACTATGATGGAGGGTATAAAGAGGCCTAACACGAACTGTCGGAACGAATCTAACATTTTTAGTTGGGCTTTTCGCTGTGGAACCTTACTGTTGTTTATATTTTAATGATCAGCTCCATATTGCGGCATCTCCCAATTATTGGTATTTTAGGGGTTCTGACACCTACCAAAGCGGCTTCTCGGTGCGTAGCTGAGCCTGATATTTCGTGTTTTTTTTTGTGGATAGAATAACTCCTTTCGGAAATTATTCAATATTAGTAAAGACCCTTTTTGAAAAACTTCCGATTTGATTATAAGTCAATTTCGAACCGGTTGACCTTAAAATCGCTATTGATGGCTTTTTTTGAAAATATAACTCGTAAGAGCCCTAATTAATTGCTATTAGTTTTTTTTTTTAATTACTCACAGAAACTTTTTTTTTTAAAAATCCATCTGCGCATTACTTTCGAAAAATTCTCAGCCCATGTGGTCTATGTTAGCATTTAGCGTTCAATTATAATTCAAGATTGACAGGTGTTACTTACATGTCACGTGTCTGCGTGTCGGTTACGGGACATCGATGTCAATGGCACAAAATAATGCCGTATTCCGTTGCCAAATATTGGCTGGCACTCGAGCAAATCGAAATGAGTTGGCAATTAATAATATTGACACAGTAACCGAATGATTTTGGGTTGGAAGCTATGTTGCTGCGGCTTCTGTTGTTGTTATTCTTATTTGGTGACTTTTTTCCGCTGTGGTGACAGTAATGTGTGGCGTATTTAACACTTTTTGTATTTTTTTATTTTTAACAAAAATAATATTTAGCACCTATGTCTTTCAATGATATATGGAGGGTTCCGTTATATTTATTTTATATTTTATTTCACTTTTTTTCTCACTTACACACAACTGATTTGTTGTGGATTTTAACAGACGGCACTTGGAAAACCAGCAAATACAGCTGCAAATAGAAGAGAGCAAGAGAGAGAGAGAGAGAGAGGGACGATTCAAAATTGGTTCATGTTCACAAACGAATGGTTTTTAATTAACAATTTTTGCATATTGATTTAATTTATATATCTGACGTTATTAAAAAAAAATACAAAAAAAGTGAAAAAAACGAAAAATCAAACAAATAAATGTCACATATGTCAACGTAATAAAGACAGCACAAGATGAATGAAGGAAAAACATGAGAAACTTTAAATAACTTTTTTTGTAGTTTTGGTTTTGTTGTTGGGGAAAACATTTTGCATTTGTTATCGAATCGACTTTTTTGTTTTGCCATAATGTAATTATTGCAATAGAATTAAAGCAATTAATTACATTTGTTATTTTTATTTATATATTATTGGTTGTAATTAAATATTAAAAGCTATACAGATGTAGCTGCTTATTCGGAGGTTGTTTTTTTTTTTTTTTTTGTTGCGAAATTTATACATTTGATTGATTAAGTTATATTTCCATTTTCGTAAAATTAAGAGAAATTAAATTGTCTGTATTTCAGAATAATTTGTCACACGTATTTGTAATTGTCGGTGGTTTTATTATTTTATGGTTTACATTATTGTGCATGTGCGGGGCATGCTGTTGTTGGGGTCAGTCAGGGCTGTTATAAAATATGGCTTATGAATCATTTTGATATTGCAAAATTCTGAGTAAATCAAAAAAATATAAAAAAAATGTATTAACAATTACAAACAGCATTTAGTTCGGCTGGTCTGAATATCATTATGAATGTTTAACCCTAATAATGGTCTTATTCTCTGCTCGAATCTAGAGGCAGTTATATTGAGGCTATGCGAAGAAGTAGTTCTGTATAGCCATGTAACTGCCATAGAAGGCGGTGTCTATTATGAACTACAAATTTGAAATAATGCCGGTGAAAAGAAGAAAAAATTTTAAAATACTGAATATTGGCAGGTACACAGATGTGGACCCGAAGAAGGCTATGCGAAGAAGTAGACCTGTATATCCATGCATCTGCCAAAGAAGGCGGTTTCTGTTATGAACTTCAAATTTGAAATAATGCCGGTGAAATTAAGAAAATTCTTTAAAAGGTACAGAGATGTGGACCCGAATAAGTGTAGAATCCATTACGAACTTCAAATTGTAGGCTATAGAGGAGGGTATACAGATTTTAACCCCCTGGGCGGGAATTACGCGGTGATGTTTCAAGTCTGATACAATGTTGGAAATTTCAACAAAAACGAACTCCAAATTGGAGGCTATAGTGGAGGGTATAAAGATTTTGACCCTCTGGGCGGGAATTACGCAGTGATGTTTTAAGTCTCATACGAAGTTGGAAATTTCGACCAAAACATATACTCACTTTCATTTCTGGGATACTTAAGTGTTTTATACCCTCCACAATAGTATGGAGGGTAAAGTAAGTTTGTCCTTCCATTTGTAACACCTCGAAATATACATTTTAGACACCACAAAGTTGATCAGCATAAAATTATATGTCTAAGTCCGTCTCTCCGTCTGTGGAGATCACTCAAGCTTCCGTACGAAATGAAAATTTTACTCAGATGCGTGTTTGTTCTGCAGGATTTTCGGTATTGGAAATTGGCTATATAGGTCCACGTTTTAATATAGTCCCCATATAACTGTACTTCCTTATATTCCGTATTTCGACGATTTCCGCGACATTAATCACCAGAATTGTTTCAAATTTCGTATTTTAAGTTCGTAATGGGTACTACAAATGCAGGTCCAAGTCTTCGTATATTCGGTACTTTGACAATTTTCTCGACTTTATTCGCCGTAATTGTTTGATATGTCATATTTAAAGTTCGTAATAAGTGTTACATCGTATGACCGAAAATTCCATATGAATGTCCAGGCCTTCGTATATCCCCCATATAACTGTATCTCCAGGTATTCGGTATTTTTATGATTTTATCGATATTATTCACCAGAATTGTTTCAAATTTCGTATTTGAAGTTCCTAATGGGTACTTCAGTCGATGAAAGACAATTGCATATGCAGGTCCAAGTCTTCGGATAGCGCCCAAGTAACGATTCTTCCCAATATTCGGTATGTTGATGATTTTTCAATGGATTTCAATGGATTTTTCTTTTTTTTTTAAATTTTAAATTTCTTGCGATTGGTAGAGGATATACAAAGATCGGCCCGGCCAAACTGACTGCTTTTTAATTTTTTTTAATGTGTTTATTGTGGGTGGGCACCACTTCACTCTGGATTTTTATACCCTACACCACATAGTGGTAAGGGTATTATGTCTTTGTGCATTTGTTTGTAACATGGAGAAGGAAACGAGATAGACCCATAGTTACTTTTGAGAACCTTCATAGAATCACTTTCTGAGTCGATTTATGCATGTCAGTCCGTCCGTCCGTCCGTCCGTCCATGTATTCTTGTGAACAAAATGCAGGTCGCATTTATTATCCGATTGAGATGAAATTTTCCAAACAACATTTTTTTGGCCCAAGGACGAACCCTATTGAAATTGGTGAGAATCGGATCAAATTTAGATATAGCTCCCATATATATCTTCATCCGATTTCGGGTTAAATGTGCACCAAATGGCCAATATCAGCCCAAATGGCCCGAATTTTGGCACATGTGACCGAGATTAGCCTTAAAGCAAATACAACAAATTTGGAGAAAATCGGTTCAGAAACAGCTATAGCTCCCATATATATATTCATCCGATTTCGGTTTAAATGTGCACCAAATGTCCACTATCAGTCCAAATTACCTGAATTTTGGCACACCCAACCGAGTTCGGCCTAGAAGCAAGTATATCAAATTTGAGAAAATCGGTTCAGATATAGCTATAGCTCCCATATATATCTTTCATCCGATTTGGTGTTTAAGCCTCTCACATTCGTAATATGCACTTCACAAGAATAATATTTGGTACCAGATATAAGATACAGCCCAGAAATAGCTGTTTGTAATTTTATCGAAATCGGTTCAGATTTGGATATAGCTCCCATATATATCTTCATCCGATTTCGGGTTAATTGTGCACCAAATGGCCGATATAAGTCCAAATGGACTGAATTTTAGTACATCGGACCAAATTCAGCCTAGAAGCAAGTATATCAAATTTAGTGAAAATCGGTTCAGATATAGATATAGCAACCATATATATGTTTCATCCGATTTAGAGTTTTAATCCCATACATTTGTAATATTCACTCCACAACCGTGATATTTGGTACCAGGTATTAGATGGAGCACAGGAATAGCTGTTTTAAATTTTATCGAAATCGGTTCAGATTTGGATATAGCTCTCATATATATCTTCATCCGAATTCGGGTTAAATGTGCACTAAATGGTCAATATCAGCCCAAATCACCAGTCTAGAAGATAATACGTAAAATTTGGAGAAACCCGGTTCAGAGATAGCTATAGTTCGTGAAATGCACGATAGAATTAGATAGATTTTGATTTTGTACCAAATATCTCATAGAGCTCTGAAATGCCCTGTATAAACCTTTTTACGAGAGCTCTACTAAATATGCATAGTGGTGTAGGGTATCATATAGTCGGCCCCGCCCGACTTTTGAGCTTTCCTTACTGGTTTGGTGATAGATATGTACCAATGTGTAAAGTTTGTCCGAAATCGAGAAATAATTCATTTTGCTTCGGTGATAGTTAAAATAAATCAATGTTTTGATGCTTCTTGACGGAGATATGAAAAGAAGTGGGCCAATATTGTCAATTTGCATATCTGACATAGATCTGATATGAATATTTGTAAGTGTATTGCTCCAATTTTATCTTATACCACATGGGCTTAATATTAGATTTATAAATTGTTTCTGAAAAATGACTACTATTGTGGGTGAGGTATCAGAAGATGAGGACTGATGTGGAAAATTAGCATCAATCTATGTTGGGCAAAATACATCAAAATGCTGTAGATTCGGCCGGCCCGAACTTTGAATACCCTCCACCATTTGAAACGAATTTGGCAATTCTCAAAAACAATAAATTCTGTTAAAATCTTAAAAATACCGAATGTAGCAGTTATATTAGTGTCTAGACGACGACTTTTGTCATAAGCCATTACAATATTAAAATGCGACACTTAAAATAATCGCTGAATAATGTAGCTAAAATCATCAATATACCGAATATCGGGAAGTACCGTTATATGGAGGCTATACGAAGACGTGGACCTGCACAGACGATTTTCGGTCATTGGCTGTAGTAACCATTACGAACTTCAAATACCAAATTTAAAACATTTCCGTTGAATAATGTCGCTTAAATTACCGAAAATAGTGTGGTACCATTATATGGGGGCTATACGAAGACATAACATTTTCTGTCTTACGCTGTAGTATCCATAACGAAATTTAAATACCAAATTTTAAACAATTCAGGTTAAATTACGAAGAATTAGAAATATATATTGGATTTTATCCCTTTCTGCCAAAAGACAATTCCGAATTTATCTGAATCCTTAAAATCAGACAACTGTTCTTGAGTTATAAGCGTAGTAACTAACACAACTTTCTTTTATATATATATATATATATATATATATATATATATATATATATATATATATATATATATATATATATATATATATATATATATATATATATATATATATATATATATATATATATATAGATTTTAAATTTCAGATTTTATTAGTTTACCTTATTTACCGCTTTGTTTATGGTTGATAAATGCAGAAACAAAAAAATCGACCTATAGTTCTTCGAAAACACCTTATTTTAAAATTACTGCTACTTCGGCAGTCAAACTTTTCACTATTTTTTAATTTAAATTATTTTTATCTATTCTCACTTTTAATATTTGTTTATAAAAAATACATAATTTGTATCTATATCACTTTCTCTATTGCAGAATTCAATGTGCTCTCAAAATTATATCTTACACACTCACAACTAAAATCCGAATACGGAAGTTTGTTTGTTCAGCAAAAAAATGCAAGTGTTAAAAA